AGGGGGGTCGCCGGGTAGTGGGGGTTGGGGGTATTGGGGGTGTAGGGGTAGTGCCCGTTGTTCAGGGGTGGGTGTGAGGGCACTGAGGGCAGTGAGGTGTAATGGGGGTTGGGGGTCGTGGTGGGAATGTGTAGGTTGGGGGGAGGGGGCCGGGTGGTATGTTCGGGGTCAGATAGGGGTTTTTCAGTCCTTTTGGGGTGTTTGGGGGGGGGTGTCAATTAGGGTGAATTTTTTTTTTTTTTTTTCTGGTTTGAGTGTTCGGGCACGTAGGCACACGTGTCCGAGGCCCAACGCGCGAATTTCGTTTTTCGGAATTCGACGCGAAGCCCCCGTTTTTGCGTTCAACGCGATTTAACGGGGGTCCAGGGGCCCGTTAAACGGATGAACGAGCGTTGAATTTCGCCCGTTCTCCGTTAAAAAGATACACAGGTTGAGTGTGTGTGCCCCGTTGGGCGCGATTAATAACGGTTGGCGATGGTTCCTTCTTATTCTGCTGAGGAGGGAACAACTAATGTCGAGCCCCCGAGGGCTCTCAGAATTTTGATTTCTTTCGTGTTTCTGCTTTTCTTCCGTCTCGTCGGAATTTCTCTTTTGCAATTTCGAATTTAGATAGGAATTTAGGATTTTCTTTTGGAATTTTGTCGTGCGGTGCTTCTTGTTTGCACGCACCCTCCTGCGGTGGAAACAGAGTTCTGCCTAAAACGCGTACATGTAAGCTTTGGGCGGGTGCCATCGTAACTGTATCTTTCTTCTTATACCTCGCCTTCTTCCCGCCCCTTTCTTCCCGCCCCTTTCTTCCCGCCCCTTTCTTCCCGCCCCTTTCTTCCTTTTTGTGTCTGATTGGCCGACGCGCTGCATGATCGGACTGATGCGTGGAGAGTGGCTACGTCCCCCATGCCGTGGTCTGGCCATGCATAACGCAGGCACTTCCTTCCCTTCTCCCCTTTCCAATCCTTGCAATCTCGCACTCTTCGCGCATACATGCATGCTATAGATTCCGCTAGCGCGATTAGGTAGCTCTCTTAAGAATTTTTGGAAGCTCGAGGTTAGAGCGATCAGTGAGGGTCGGCTAACGAGCGAAGTAAGAGGTGAGTTGATGTGGGAGTTGGGCGACCCGACGAGCCGGTGCCAAGTGTGCAGGGTTGACTTGTAGGCCACGACGGACTGTGGTGCATGGGCGAACCTGACGGGCGCATGCGGACTAAGTAGGGTGACAACTTCGTTGGTGGGTGCGCGACGACGGACTGTCCACATCGGAGAGAGAGAAAGTGGAGAGAGATGGGTGTGGGATTGTAATCTTTCTTGTCCTCTTCAGTCTTTTTAATATATAAAATTTTGGCTTCGGGCGGGACGCCCTCGTTTTTCATTTCGACATTTCTTTCGGCTTGCTATTGTCTAATGCATGGTTCAATGTCTGTCCTTCCTGTTTTGTTTTGTACTTGCTCAATGGGATGGACTTGATGATTTTGTAATGTTTGAATACCCAATGATTGGCGCAAATCCCCCGAGATTACCCAGCGCTTGCCGTGCCGATCAATCCCCACTTTGATGATTGGCAGATGAAAGGAGGTTGGTGTTGTTGAGGTGCTTCGATGTATGTCTGGATGACGATGAGATATCCACAGGCCATGTCATTTCGTGAATCAAGAGGGGTTGTGCTACGTATCTGGGAAGGGGATTTTTCCACTTGATGGCCAAGTTATTGCTTCTTGGTCGAACGAAAGTGGTTGAGGGATTATTGCATGCTCACATGAACCTTCTTTTGCATAGGTGATTGGAAAACAGATCGATTCGCAGCGAACCAACCTCGTGTGTCCACGTGTAAGTGCGATCTGACGATCGCGACTTACACGCGCGCCCACGAGGTCGCCCCGCAGCCCCGAATGGACTTAGCACTTCAGATAACGATATGGATGATGGAATCCCCATTTGCGATACGCATCGGAAAAAATTAAGGTCCCTACACCCTCGGGCACATTGGAAACAAGAACGCACCCGTCAAACCGCGCAATCCCGGCTCCAGCACCCGGAATTTTCCTGCCAAACAGAACGCGGCCAGCTGTGCGCAAGGGACTTCCATTGCGCCATAACCAACGACCCCCGAGGTCCCGATTACCCAGAAACCTATTGCACACAATATTTCATATCCCCCGGCTTCGTTGTCATCTCCACTAACTTCCCTCCCTTTCGCCTCCTTCTACCCTATCACCAACTCACGGTGGTACTGTGGAATTTCATCACCCGTTATTGGCCCCGAATGTCGTGCGAGCAGTGCAGACGACGGGAGGCCAATCGAACCTCCAGATCCGCCGGCCGAACCCGCGTCGCGCGACGACGCGACAAGCTCCACCGTCACTCGCTGGAATAAAATTCGCGGGAATGGCGACTCCCGTTTTTGAATTTCGAAAACGAAGATCGATGACAAGGACACTGTGTTGACACGCTCAAGAATGCAAGAGTGTTTAGATCTGATGGTCTGAAGGGCACGACACCTAACCCGTACGGCACCCCTTTTTTGCCCCAATAACCGTCTGTGCGCGCCGTCTTGCACACATATTCCCGAAACTTGCCACATGAGATCTCAGTTCTGACCTGGGACTCCACCCCAAATCCCCAAAAATCCTTGGCACACCCCTTTTCGCACTTCCGGGCCCCGATCCCACTCCGATCAGGAAGTCGCGCTGGGCGTGAGGTTGGGCGTCACACGCTGTCCCCCTCCGCGCCCCTTTCGAAATTTTCCATATATTATCGTGTACGTTCATCATGAAGTAAGCCACTCATAAGGAGTATTTAGAAAAGAATATGGCTAGGTTAATGCATTCTAAACATTTCGTGCAAGAGAATGTTGGTTAATGCTCAGCGCCCTTGATCCCAATGGAGACGCTCCCACCACCACCAGAGGGTGGCGCCGCTGCCCGTTGAGCTTGGGGTCTTTCACGCTCCCAGTCGAGATAGTCAACAGTAGTTCTCACGTGCTCCTCCCAACACCAGTTCCACCACCACCGGCTGCCCACCCACTGCCTCCAGAGGTGCCACTGTTGGATGTGCCCACTGTCTCGTACTAGACTCTCTCTCCCTTCGTCGTGTTCACACTGCAATGAGCTTCGTTACTTGAATCTTTTTTTTTTTTTTTTTTTTTTTTTTTTTGGACTCAAGGCCCTTGTGCAAGGCCTCTATCCTGGTGGTGGTAAGAGAACCACCGGGATTGAGGCTTTGCCTGCCGGGCCGCTCCATCTATTGGTGGGGAGCATCACCTGCTGGAAACCGGGTCCAGTGTCCCTTAAATACATCATTATAATACAGTACATCATTGAAAGTGACGCCATTGTGCTGGAAACCGGGTAGAGCGTCCCATATCCAATCTACTCTTCCAAACTTCACCTGCATTCCAAGCCTCACCTGCAGCAGGGCCAGGAAATGGGTGGGGAGGCACTGGGGGGCACCAGTGGAGTCTCCCTCCATCCCCTAGCCCCTGCCATCCACCAATTATCCTCAGGGCGCCAATTGTATCCATCAGAGAGTATACTGGATATACTGAGAATATACTAAGAATTTTATACTGAGAATAGGGCTCAGCGTCCATACACAGACAGAAATGAAGTACAACAGAGAGTTTACTGAGCAGGTGGTTTGGGAAAGAGACACCAGCCATGGGATAATTGGTAGAAAGAGCCCACGCCAAAACCTTTTCGGTTTTGGCCACCCAAAGTTAGGCCGTTTGGTATTACCTGCCCAAACAACGTTCCCCTTTGTGAAAGGCGCCTTCGCGCCGTGGCCACATCTCCTTGGGCCTGTTTTCACCGGTTCAAGAATTTGGCGCTGTTTCTGCGCCAGATTCATGAACCGGTAGGGCCCTTCTTTTTCAAAATCGCGTACGTGGGCCTCATTCGATACTTCAGCGTTACCACGCCCGGCCTCTTTTACATGAAAATGAATCTGGCGCTGTTTATGCGCCAGCTTCATGATCCGATAGGGCCCTTGGAGGGACACGTGGGCCTGTAGTACCCCACATGCAAGTCATTGGGCCGGTAGTACCAAACGGCTAAACTTTGGGCGGCCAAAACCGAAAAGGTTTTGGCGTGGGCGCCTTCTAGCGATTATCCCCACCAGCCATTCTTGTCTGAACTATTCTTTTTTTTTTTTTT